GTGTGTGTGTGTGTGTGTGTGTGTGTGTGTGTGTGTGTGGGGGGGACCGAAGTTCACTGAAGGTCAGTTTAGTAGCAACTGGTGTCACTGGTCTGGTCACAACTAACAGGTTTGAATTGTAAGGCCCTCCTCCACAACATGAATATCTCGCTTCCTGAAGCGATCCGCCTCCTCAATGCTCACAGGTTGTGCAAACGAGCACATGCACTTTAAGGGCACAAGCACATGCACTTTAAGGGCACAAGCACATGCACTTTAACGGCACAAGCACATGCACTTTAACGGCACAAGAGCCATCTGGTTGCACGACTGTATTTATAGTACGGTTGCTGTAATTGTGACAGTATGTTTTTTTTGTTGCGTGTGCTTTGTGATTATAGATTTCGTCGCTCAGCGCACCGAAACAAATTGAAAATCAACTGCGGTTGGTACGGCAATAAATGACTGAACCTTAAGTGAATGTGAATCTGAAGGCCGGCTGCCATTTGGAAGTGAGATGGCAGGTTTGAATTCAAAGTGAGACAGCATACTGTGTAGTACTGAAGACTATTTAGACTGTGGCTAAGGATTTTAAAAAGCTTCTTTTTTAGACTTGCTTCATTCTTCTTCTTCTTCTTCTTCTTGTGCTTGACAAAGCCGGTGCAACGATTAAGCTAAAGCTTGTTTGTTTTATTCAGATTTTTTCACATTTTAATGTACTGCCGCTTTTAAGTGATTTCCCGATTCCCAAACATCCTCCTAGTGATTTGTATCCAAGTTGCTCGTCACTATCTCGGCCCCGGGCAACAATGCCCATCTCAGTCCAGCCTCAGAAGACGCCTCAGGGTCACGGCCTTGTAGGAAGTTTCAAATCTTGCATGGAAATTGCAACAGATATATTGTGAGCCGTGCTACGCACACGAATAACAGAATTTATTTCAGTCAGCCTCCTGAACAATGTCTCCTGTTCGTGCTGTATTTCTGCTGCATACACACATGTCTGCCTATGAATACATTATATGTATTTGCATGTGATTTGTCTCGGAACACATTTTGGAAACATGTTCTTAGTATTGAAAGAAAAACATGTTTTCCACAGCACGTCTTGACTTAACTTTCAGTACTACGGAGCATTTTTTATTCACACTTTGTTTCACAGTATCGTATCTGCAACCAACAGGCAGACAGAGACGCACGTACACAGCAGCAGCAGCAGCAACAGCAGCAGTAGTGTCTCTTATCTGGGTTACTACTACATACCAGTCATTTCTCTAGATCCAAGCTACCAGCTGTTGGTCTTTCTTCACACACACACACACACACACTTCACTCTCCCTTGCACTCTCTCTTTCTCTGCTGCGATCACATTCCCCCTCTGCGTCACATCGCAAGCCAGCAACGACAGATGCGATCCTCAAGCCCTTAACCCCTAACCCCACGCATGCCCCTATTTTTGGGGCAAAGAATGAGGCGGACAAGCTTGAAATGGCGTCAGATGATTTGTAGCATCGAGGAACCAGCTTGAACCTCGGCACTCTGTTACAGAATGCTGGCCAACAGGCTAGTTACAGTGATCAACATGTCCAAAACAAAGTATGCGGTTTTTCCATTTTCACCCCTCCAGCAGACCTAAACTTAGCTGTAATGAGATTGCCTTAGGGATACCCCTGAGTCAGGTGCTCTGTAGCTGTACATACTACCATTAAAATGTAATCTGAAAGCACAGAGAGAAGCGCACTCTGGTGAAGCAAGTTGCTTCTTTTTTTTTTGGACCATCTAGCCACCATTAACAAAAGAAGGCAATGTTGACCATGTGTACATGTCTGTCACTGTGAGCACTCGGCTCAGGCCTGCGCTCCGTGGATGATGAAATCCTATCAGGTCAGCTGTAATGGAGAGTTATTAATATTATCCAACCAACCTCCATGGTTTACCAGAGTGTGCGTGTGGAAGAGCACTGGGCTCAACAAACAAACGTTGCCTGTCTTTGTTTCACGTGTTTGGGGAGGTAGAACTAAAATGTTTGGCTGCCTGATAAACAATGACCAACCATAGATTTGCTTGCGATGTTGTTGTTGAATGACATTAGAAGGGTCGATCAATCTTTCATTTTTCTGAGGTGTTTTGTGAAATCTTTCCCACGCGTGGATTTGTGTCAACTGAAAACCGAAACTGTAGAATACGTTCTATCTCTTTTTTTTTTTTTTTTAATTACTGAGCACCTGAGTTGAAACAAGTTTCTCTTGCTGCCAACTACGATCATTACAGATTAAGCAAGAACAAACGTCGCTGGGATGCCCATTAATAATTGCTCTATCGCAGCCAAAAAGATTTAAGACCTGCTTTCCTGCTTGGTGACGTATAACACAGCTGGAGTTGCCAAGCCCACGTACCACCAACCACTTTGAACGTTTAGAAACTGCTAAATAGTCCCTTCCTTGCCAATTTCCAAACAAGTTTGATTGTGCCTATACGTAAATGAAGGAATGCATTGCAACATTTGTTTTGAAACCAACAGGCATGCCTGAGCTCAACTTGCGGCGCAGAGCTGAGGTTACCTTCTGTATCCGTCTGCACCAAAACACATGACCTCACTTTTTTTGAACACACCTACTAACGTTCATGTTCAGTGAGGTGTGTGTGTGTGTGTGTGTGTGTCTCCGCCCATGCAGGTTTCGTCAGCTGCAGCTGGGTACCGACAGCCGCGTAGCAGAGCTGTCCAATCAGGCCAAGCTGCACTCCTTCGAAGCTGAGCGCGCTCAGATGGTCAAGGATGAGACGGCTAAGGCGCTGGCCCAGTGCCAGGTGGAGTGTGAGAAACAGCAGAAGAAGCTGGAGGTACCCCTAAACACGAGGACAGAATGAAGATGTTTTACTTGTTGCATTGCAGCGGTACACCCAGTAATTAGTTTATCTCTTCATTTGTACGTGCCTCTTCCTCTCATGATTTGATTTCAGCCAGTAAACATTTATTGTTGGTTTTAGATAGATATTAAATGATAAACAAGACTATACATCCGTGCATGTGTCGTTAACAGATTCCCCCTTTGTTCATTCATATTCTACATTTTTAATAGTAAGCAATAAAGAATATAACTGTGCCCATATTTACAGATTGACACCATGAGTGTTTCTTGGTGTCGAAGTTGCTTACTTGCTGTAAACATCACGTGAATGAATACAACCGAAAATGCACAACCGGTGCGTAAGTCGTTGTTCTGTTCAGGGAGGAGTCCGTCCGTAGTGCTTAAAGATTAATGCTCCACTCTCCAGCCAGTCTTTGTATGTCGGTCCGGCGGCTCCATTCTTATCTCTGTCCACTGTAGCACACCCATTTATACAAGAAGTTAATTGAGTGCAGATTGTTCTTGATGTCTGGATGTACTTAGCCGAGGTTCACCTCTTCACCTGTGTTTAACCCCGTCCTGCTCGCCAGAGGGAAGTGCACGGTGAAACCGTGCATTGTACATGGTCGTGAGGGTCAAAGATCTTTTCTCTTTTTGATCACACAGTGAATGAAGAGCTAGTTTAGCTTTTGACTTTGTTGTTCAGCTTTGAATTTGTTCAAGTTCTTTATAGCAGTGAGGTTTAAAGCTTTCATTTAGATTTTCTTCCCTCCTTTTTTTGCTTTCACTCCTCTCTCTTTGTGAACATCTTTTTGTCTATGCTTGTAAATGTGGGGAAATGAGGTAAAGGTTAACATTACTTTTCACATTTACCATGACGGCAACTCTGCAAGCCTAACAGGAGTTTCAGTATAAGTAACATCAATTATTTTCTCTTTAGAAATTGCCATGAAAATTGAGAACATTGTTAGTTAGTAATAATAGTGCGTCAATATTGTCTCAACAATGTTTCTCTTTTTGTTAAAACAACTTAAAAAAGACAATGTAACACAACTGGGGGCTTGCTTTGCATGTACAAAAATTGTAAGAAAAGAAAAGACAAAATACAGTAAAAATAGGATTCCATCTTTTTCAACTGGCCACCACAGGCTCATTGGCTCTCTGTCTCCCCCAACCCCTCCCTCTCTCCTCTCCTCCTGTCCCTCAGCTCCTGACCCAGGAGTTTTACAGACTGCAGACGTCATCAGAGAAGCGGGTGGCGGAGCTGCAGGCTCAGAATGCCGAGCAGGCGTCTCGGCTGGAGACGTACGAAAAGCTGGAGCAGGAGTTGGACCAAGTCACCATGCAGGCTGCTGAAAGTAAGAACAGTGTGGTCGGAAAGATGAAAGCACAATCAAACCAAGCACTGCTTCCTTCAAATGCCTTGTTCTGGCATGAGGGAATGTGTCTAATGATATTAACAGATCGCATAGTACTGGATTAAGATGTGAGGATCGCTATTGTCTATCTGTAGTGAAGGGCCTTGTGACAGTGGACGGAACACAACAGGACACGTCACCACATTGTTATCATAATGGTCCTGGTCCAGTATTTGTGTTTCTGTCTGTTGCCAGTTGAGAATGAAGAGGAGGCCGAGAGAGTGCTGTTCTCGTACGGCTACGGAGCCAATGTTCCCACGACGGCTAAAAGAAGACTAAAACAGAGGTACAGCACACGATGCACTTCACGTTTCAAGAACAGGAGGACACATAATACGAGATGGCACTAAATGAACGCTGGAATTTGCTCACATCGCACCCGTGTGTGCTTATTCCTAAATATACTGTATTCATTAAGAAATCCGCATGCTAATATAGAATGGTTTGAATTGCTATGTTCGTGTGCTGATATATCTGCCGGAAATTAGATTTGTGCCAACAATCATTTGGTCGTAGTCACCAGCTTGTTGTTGGTATTGTTTTTACCATGTGCTTGTGCGCCATGATGTGTGTGTCATGGCAAAATGTGTTCCTGGAGACACCTACTGTAAGGGGAACCACCACAGAGGCAGTTGTGGGTACTTTGCCAGCTGTTTATATTTCTATCTGTCTGTCTGTTAACACATTTTGTCACCGTGATAGCGTCACAATTGTGAAAGCTGCAGGTTGACTTTGAAGATGGGTGTGTGTTCCAAGCAAGGGCACCGCATTTGTACTCCACACCACTTTAATTTGAAGCATATATGCGCAGCTCAAACTGATCCCAAACTATTGTGGTTACATAAACAGTAGGGTAAACAACATGGAGGTACACGCCAGTGTAAACTTGTTGGTGTTGTCATGTTTTGGAATTTCCACGACTGTGTTTGTTTGCGTTGTCGTGCAGCGTTCACCTGGCCCGCAGGGTGCTGCAGCTCGAGAGGCAGAACACGTCTCTGAGGAGAGAGCTGGACAGACACAAGTCACAGACCGGACAGATATCTGAAGAGGTAAACACACACACACACACACACACACACACACACAGCGTTCAGGTGTTCGCCTGCCTCAAGACCATTATTAATGGGATAAAGTTTAATTTTAAGAAAATGTAAAACACTCAAAGCTCTGCAAGTCAGTGCCTGCAACACACACTTGTTTTTCCCACCGTCACAAATCTCCTACAGCAACTCAGATTATGGTTATTCCACAGTCTCTATCAAAGCCATATGATTTATTTCAGATGTTTGTTTTTTTTACCTCTCCCTGATGACACAACATAGTCATTATCACAGAGCCAAGATCGGGGGCTCCTCTCTCATCACCAACCATTTACCTCCTCTCACCGTCGCATGAATCTCTGCTGTGAAAGTCAGCGGTGAGAGCCCATCTAATCGCTCTCTTAAAGACCGACATGGCAAAGCAAAATAAAACAAGCCCGTGAGGTCGGTCACCACACGTATCATCAAACACACTTCAGGATTCCCTAATGAGAGTGGCTTCTGCCCTTCTTTTTTTTTTTTTGAAAATGTGTAGAAGTTAAACAATTGTCCATCCAATTCTCTGAATCGGCTTTTAAAGCTGTGCCAGGAAGATGACAGGTTGTTTTAGAACAGACAGCAGACACCCCAGTCTTTGTATGATGAGAAGAGCGAGAGGTTTGCCTTAGTGCGTGTCACACTTGTTGCCACAGTGCCGAAGACCGTGACGGCCACGCTCTTCACTTGCCCAACAGCCAAGCAAGCCAATCGTTGTTGCCTTTTGTTTGGCATATTTTGTGCAGGTGTGTGCAATGCTGAGACTTTTGCTTTTGGGAGTGTGTATTCTGTCTGTGCGTGACTGTGTCTGTGGCAAATTCGTGAAACCGAAGTCACGTGTCTACTTCTCATGCCTTTGACGCTAAAAAAAAAAATCATCCAGTAAGGATTGAAATCATGAGAGCGACAGCTTGGGCAACCAATGTGCTTGATTTGTTCCCACTCTTTATTATAATCTCAATGAGGAGAGAGATTGCGCAACAATGACTAGAGAGGCTGGGCAGGTATGAGACTAAATAAGCCAGCTATTCAACTGTCAGGTGTGACTGACTGGCACTCGCCTTGAATGTTTCATAATGCATCAAAGAAAAGGGTGAAAAATTTTACTTTTTATTCACTAGGAAGGGTGTTAACCACTTAACCACCCACACGGATGCCCTACCCTCCCACCCTGTTCTGCTCACTATACTTGCTGGCTGTAAACGTGGTTTAATGTGTAACACCCTAACTTTATCTATTGTTTTTGCAGATTCTAAGCATGATACGTAGTAACTAATATCTTAAAACACACAGAACATTCAGCCTCTTAAATGAAGGATCGTCAAAAACACAGTAAAAGTGCTTTTCTGGCAGTGATTTCAAGAAAGAGGTCAAGATTACGAACTTTCACTGTATTTCAACTTCATGACTTCATAATACTACTTTTAATAAAAAGGAAACAACTTGGTTGCGTCTTCATAAAAACTCACATTTATTGGCACTCCGTATGACATTAGAGATAAGGAAATCTTGGCCGTGGTTGTGAGTCATACATACATTTTATAATATTAACCACATGTAAAGTCGGGCTGGCCGATACATCTTCTATCCCGACACAGGTCATTTCATATCTCACTAACTATATTTATCATGATATAGCAGGTTTTCTGGTAATTCAATAAATAGTCTAACGGCCTATTTTTGTATACTCCAGTGTGAATTTAATATTTGCCAAATGGAAAGTTGGAGAGTATTTTCTCATTTAATTAAGAACTTCAATGCAAAGTGAACGCAACAGTTTCAAGCGAAGTTATAGATTATAGTAACATTCCTATTATAACTAAGTCATTTCAGTACATTGAACATCATGGTGAGAGGTGTGTATTTCTTTTAGTTGCATCATGCGTGACTCTCCACAGTTTGTGAACTGGTACAACCTGTGGAAACAATGTACACCTGAGTCTCAGGTGTATCATTAAGTGGGGCTGAACAAAAAGAGACATCAGTTAAACCTGGCATTGTGAAGGCGAAGTCATTTTTTTTAGTGATTGCTCAATTATGCGCATATTGTGTGTTGTTCCTCAGCTGTTTGCTGCCAACCAGCTGCTACAGCAGACACAGCAGCCCTATAGCTACCTGATTGAGACGGTGAGACAAAAGGACACACAGATCACCGTGCTGAAGGAGCGCCTCACCTCGCTTGAGGATGATGTCAGGTACATGTACAAAACGTTCCTTCACAAAGAGGACATGCATGGCCTTTTCAAAAAAATAATTGATGTCAATTAAGTGTTGTGCTTATTTACATTTTGTATTTTGTCATTTACTCATGATGGCAGCAGGCCATACCTCTCCACCCTTGTGCCCAATAAATTCGTTTTTCACATCAGAACACTATAGCTTCCTGGCCCTGACCTAAATCTTCCCTGCCCCTCCCCCCCTCCGTATTTTCACCTGAGAAATATGCAAACTGACAGACTACAGGTTTTCTCTTGCTGCTCACTACCGCTGAGCTCTCACCTGGGGCAAGCATCAGAGTGGAAAAAATTCTTCAAAATCCCCATAAGCTTCTCAAACCTCCCCATCTGACAGTATTGAAGTGTTCCTGTGGCGATGCAGTGATATGTGTTTAACAGCAGAGACACAGACTCTCACTGTATGTACTTCAGTCTGTCCGTGTTAAGGATTAATTGTATTCGCAGTTTGTTTTGTGAGATCACAGAAATAGACGACAACAACAGAGTCTCAGCAGAGGCAAATCTCGGGCTATAAGAGTCGCGAGTTCCACTCTTTTTGTCTCGATTTCTCAGTGAACATTGGTGAGGTAATCAAGCCGCTGTTTCAAGATTTGCAAGATGATTTGCTTTAAAGCAGCACCATCACAAGCTGCTGCTTGTGTTTGTGTCACAGCCCCAGGAAAAGAAACACTTGGACAGTACTGGAGTATTTCTCACAAGATAGAATCCTAACAAACAATTAATTATTTAGTATATTTTACAAATGTATGACTTGTGTGTTCAATGTATTGCTCTGCTTTTGATGGTTTTTCTACCAGTGATTTATACTCGCAACTCATACACTAAACTGCTGCCATTTAGACGGACTGGTTTATAGTCCTGCAAGTTTTTCCCCCTGACACTATACTTAAGTACACAGTTACTAAAGTACAAGACCACATTCAGATTATAATATATACCACACCTGGTCCTGTGTTGACCCCAACCCGAGCCCCCCCCAAAGCCAAATAAATCTCTTATTAACAAAGGATAGCTACAGTATTCAGTATATTACACTATTTATTAAATATGACGATATCATCTCTTTTAAAGAATCTCTTAAACCGTAAATCAGTGATTCAAGTATCACATGACCACGTAAGTAACTAGGATATTGATTTCATTCCTCACAATATGTTCAGTAATGTTTTTCTATTAACCTAAAATCTGCTCTCTCTCTCTGCATGTTCTTGGGTGCAACCCCAGTTCTCTGAGGAAAGAACGGACTGCACTGCAACAGGTGAAAAACAACATGGCCGCCGATCTGGAGAGACTCCTCAACCACCGAGAGGTACATGTGATGACGGTGTCCGCTGCTGTTTTTCATGTTAGCTATGTGACGTTTTCTACTATGATGATATGTAGTAGTGACATCAGCGTTTAAAGTCTCTCGTTCTATTCCAGTGTATTCGGCTGTTTCAAAACGGAAACAGGAAATTTCAGCGAAACCTTCTTTTGAAAATAAATATTTATCAGTAAAACCACCATGTTGCAACGCATGTCTGCGTTTTAAAACCGCCGTTGATGCTGTAACAAAGTCAACCTCTTCTCCCCTTTTCAAACTGTAGCAAAATATGAAAACCTTTTTTATTATGCCTCTGCGCCGGCGATAGCATCTGGTCCATTCTAGTGAACAGGAATTTCTTGAGATTTGGCAAAAATATCCACCTGGACTCGAGGATGAACTGATTAGATGTTGGTGGTCGGTCACTGTGACCTCACAAAACATGTTTTTGGACATGACTCAAGAATTGATAAGCTAATAATGACAATTCCACATGAATGCCTAACAGGAAAAAATTATGAAGTGATAAACTTTTGGACAGACGTGGATGTAAATTGCAACTTGACTGAAGATTGACTAAGATTATTTAAATCATTGATTCATCTTTCGAGTTTGTTTATTCTATAAAACATCAATTTTTTATTAATTTGCTTAAAAAATGACAAACAATTAATCGATTATCAAAGTGGTTGCTGATTCATTTTTTACTAATCCAGTGATTCCTAAACTTTTTCACGTCAAGGACCCCCAACTGACACAAATTAGACCACAGACCCCCTTTCAATAAGATTTTGTCCCAGGCTCCCCTTTCTGATAGGGTTATGCTTTTAGATGTTTTATTACAGAAGATGTATGAATGACCAACTAATTGTACTGCTGTTGATTCACTGTGTTGCAACGCTTCCTTCAAGATTGCGTGTGCTCTTATGTGCGTGCACGTGGGAGTGTGTTCCTCAAGCCAGCCGTTTGCTGTTCAAAGTATGTGCCCTGTCACAGACAGCTGTTCCTCAGCTTGGCTGTTTGGGATGCCACCGGTGTGCGTGTGTGTTTGTGGGTATGTGTGTGTGTGTGTGTGTGCTCGTGCATGTGTGTGTGACATGCCAGGGCTCATGTCCTCAGGGGTGATAAATAGAACCGTGAAATGGCCCAGAGTCCTCCCCGCTGCCACCCCTGCAGACCCTTGAGCTTGTTGAACTTATTGCAAGTCGTCCCATAGTTGGAGTTCAGCAGACAAACATGTCATCAGAAAGCAGCAATAAACATTCCTGGAAACATACGTTTTAAAGCAAATGTGTCACAAATTGTTGAAATAGTATTGTCAGGTATTTCAATCACACTAGATATTTTTAATACATTTATTATATGAATGTTTAGTTCACCTGTTGAGCGGGTGATTTATTTGAGATATCTGGCCTTTTGGACGCTACACTTCCAGTTATTTCTCATGGAGATTCTTGTGTATTGTTTTACCCTCGTGTCCCTATTTTCATGAACCATGTTGATTCTTTAGGAGTTAGCGGTGATGAAGCAGGTCCTGATCAGCATGGGGTCCAGACAGGGAGACGCTCTGAACCTGTTGGAAACTGACAAAACTGCTACGAGGACCTCTGGTGCAGGAAAACACCAGTCCAAACAAATCCACAGGACCACAGAAGAAGAGTCACCAAACAAACCCAAACCCACTGTGTTCGTAAGTGTCTTAGTTAGCAACTCCCTATATGAGTCACACCACCTTAACCTGCCTGGACAGAAGTTCAGACAAAGGAGCTCTAGGGATTGACAGGCAATGATTAATCATATTTTGTCATTTAGTTTCATATGAGCTTCCCACTGTTGTCAGCTGAGCAAAAATATGTTGTAGTATAAATCCTTGACTCATGTAAAGGTCACATTGGTGAGAATATCTTAACAATCCAAGCAACAGCTCCTGCTGGCATGCACTTTATACTTTTCTAACCATCATTCTTCCTCTCTTTTTCTTTCATTTGCAGACTAATAAAGAAGTTCCTGATTGGTACAAAAAGACGAAGCACAAACCCAAATGAACATTACTTTCTGTTACTATTGGTGATATTAATTGTCATGGCTTTAACAATTGTGTTTTTTTTTTTTGTTTTGTTTTGTTTTTTTTTAAGGATTTTTAAAAGTCAGCAGCTTTTGAAATACAAAAGCAGAAACTGTTGCTAGTGTCCGAGTGTTTTGTTGTTCTCATCCGTGGTTACATATTGTTCAGAGAGGATAAATTCCCCGCGTACTGGTCCAAAACCAGAGGTATTACCTTCCACCGGGTACACATTCCTAGCTAACTGACTGCCCAAACATTCCTCTTTCTTGGCAGTGGTTTATTTTATTATGTCTGTCTATCATTATTTTCTCATCTTTTCCAGGTTTGCAGATACTAGTGGCTACAGACAAACAGCATTGCAGGAACATTAGCCTCTAGTTTGCACGAGCGGAGGCTCCTTTGGCTTTAAATATAGACATAGTAGGCATACCTTTTATCATTTCAGCCATGTTCTTATCGGTGTCCTATTAAACTCGACCAGAGGACGGCTTTAAAGCTGTTTTATCCCCTTTTTTTGAGCCTACAATGCTTCAAAATACACCACTTTATTTTCCTGTTATATGAAATAGCTATGAAAATGCAATATATTAGAATTTGCTTAAAAGAAAACAATTTGTATCAGTTGTGTGACTTATCAATTCTTTGTACAAACTGAGTCGCCATGAGAGAAGGAATTTTAGAAGCTTAGAAAATAAATGAGTTTGATAGCCTGCATTACAAACTGGAGGTGTGGGATTTGAAACAAGCGGGCATTTAAGAGGCTTTGATGGGTCTAATGAGAGACTCACTTGCTGAGTCCTTACTGCCGCTCCAATTTTGTCTTTATGACATTATGGCCAAAAAATATTTTATTCATATCATATTTAGATGTTTATTTTACTATGCTTTGTCTATTTGTGTAGATTTCTCCTAAATTCACCAAAAGTTATCATTAGTTAATGTCTCATTAGCATAAAAAACATATTTCAGAAGATTTATAATTCAAAGAAATAATTGTCTTAGTGTAATTAATCAACTGGGGAGTGTTTATATCTGGCTATATCTGTTAGTTACATTTTTTTGACCCCATTTTATATGGCTGAGATCCAAAATATCTGTAAAAAAAACTTTGACTCTAATATGTCTACATTTTGAATTTTGAATGGCTTTATACAATGTTCAAATTCCTGTTTTGGAAAATGTATGCAAATCAACACATTTAACGAGATAATGCCACATTTGCATATATTAAACATACAATTTCGAAAAACTTAACACAAAACAATTGCCTAAATATAATGAATCAACTGGAAGTTTCGGTGTGGTATCTGTTAGTTATTTTGTTTACCCTTTTCACTTGGAGTGTCTCTCTATATATACATTATACGTATTCATTTGAAATATAAATAAGATTAAAACACTAGAATAAAAAAAACAATCATTTAAAAAAAATGTTTCAGGTGCGTTTAACCGTCACTTTCTTTGTGTGTGCGGTCTGGCTGATACTGTGCACACTCCACAACACTGTTGTCAATGTATTTAGATGGAGCGTAGGGCGGTGGCCAGTGAATGAATGATCAAAGGCTTTTTTTTTTGAAGGTTTGGAGGGCGGTGCATGTGCAGTATTTACACTGGGCCGCTCCGCCCCTACAGCAGAGATAGAAAACTGTCCGTGGGCCGGTGGAGGGATGAAACAAGTGGAAGGAGATGTAGCAGACTGACACTCATTAATAACTCCACCACGCGCACTACACCTCGTCGGCTCCACTCCTCGCTCCGGCACGCTGTGGCATCCTCTCTTTTGCATAAACAAGGACGAGCGTTCATTTGCGGTGCTGCGTCGGAGCTTCATGGCCGCGACACTCGCGATGAGCGGCTGCGGGCAGGAGGACACCTTCTACCCGCTGCAGAAGGCGACTCTGCCCGCTGCTTTCCACCTGGAGGACTCGGCGTTGTTCGGCCTGGACTGCAAGATCACAGAAACGGACAAGACTGGACATAATGACTACACGCAGGTAAAACCCGAATACACACATTAGTGATGTGTTTCATTGAATGGGCGTGGCAGAAAGGTTGTAGGTCCTGTTTTTTTTTTTGTTGTTGTTGTTTTTTGTTGTTATTGCTGGCCTCCAAATTTCCACCGGCCTCGCTGCGTGATATTGTAGATGACCACTTAGTTTTGCACTAATAGCGGTAATAAGCGAGCAAGCTGAGACCAGCTGGACGTGAAGCCGAGCGGCTCCGCCCGCAAAACGCATTCACCGCATGTTTTCTATGCCAGCCAGTTGGCCACCAGTTGTTGCCCCCCCCCCCTGTCCTCTCACCATCATACCACGCTGACAACAACTGACACCAGCTTCGGACAGAAAGCTCCCGGCAACTCTGTCCCCAGTTAGCAGGAAACTTGTGCAGCAGAGGAGAGAGCTGCAATTTAACAGCTGGTAGGATCAGGAGCCTAGAAATAGCAGCCCATCCCCAGACTGCTGCTGCTGCTGCTGCTACTACTGCAGCGGACTGGGAGGCATGGGTGTTTCCCCATTCCCCTTTTATGTTGCTATTTCATCCTCTGCTCCACGACTTCTCTTAACTTTTATACCTGCCTGCAGATTCACAGAAATGAGACCGCGAAGCACAGAGCGAGCGAGGATTTGACATGAAGTTGTTCACCTGTGATGCCAGTTTGGTCAACACACAGGCTGCTTCTTTAGCCTGTTATCATAACCGCAGATGTGCATATTTCCAAATGTGTTCATACGAGAAGTATTAGATGTGATTCCCTTGGCTTGATCCTCAACTGTTGGCCTCACAGCCTGCAGGTTTTTGAGTTCAGCCTTGCAGCCGGAGAGGGAATGTGGCAACTGCCTATTGATGACTACTTGATAAATGTTTTAGCGGTGACTGTCCTATCAAACCTTTGTCTTCTCGAAATAGCACCTCAGAATAGTTTCATGGTGGCTCACAAGAAGCAAGTCCAACTGAATACATTTCAGTTTACTTTAAGACCGTAAAATGAGACGTTTCTAAACCAGACTTTTTTTGTCTTTTTGTCCACAGGTAAAGTGTGAGATGGACAGATATCTCTCCCCTCAGTCTCTTCCCCATCCGCATCATGCAAACAGCCAGCAGAAGTCGCAGAGAGACTGTGCGTCCGCACTGGATCAATTCTTCACAGGCGATCACACCGGGTCTCCCTATACCCTCAACATGAATCTTTACCTCCCTGACGCTGCCTACCTGAGGGTGGGCTTGTGTCAGCACCCGAACCACACAGGTCTCACCCAAATCAAAACAGAATCTGCCTCCCCGTGTTACTCCCCCAACGTACAGCTGCACTGCCCCGACACGACGTCTGCGAGTAGCTGCAGCACGTCTGGGCATGGCATGGAAACCTCAGCCATAAACATGACGCTAACAGGGTTACCGGACTTCACCAGTGTTTTCAACCAGTCGGGAGGCAGCCGCGGCAACGATTCAGTGCCAGAAGTGTTCATCAAACAGGAGATGTCGTCCGAGTTCGAGCAGCACGCTCTCCACCACCATGACAACAGCGGCTCGCTGTTTCAGCTACTAAACTCCGGCTTGGACCATCACCATGGTATGGAGGCGCAGCATCAGCATCATCATCATCATCATCATCATCATCAGCAGATACAACACACTTCCACTTCCACAATTCACACGCCTTTCCATAATTTGCCGGTAGCTTCTTCTGCATCTCAACAAGAGCAGACTGCCAAGCCTGCCTACTGCAGCCTGGGCGGCGGGGCATACACACATCCACATGCCCAGGCTCACCCCCATTTCCTCCAGCAGCAGGTGCCCTACCTGCCACCCTCTCCGCCGAGCTCGGAGCCCGGCAGCCCTGACAGGCAGAAGGAGCTGCTCCACACCATGTCCCCTCCTCCCTCATACGCAGCCACCATCGCCTCCAAGTTGTCAGGTAGCACCCCTGGGCTCGGACCCGGCCCGGGACCGGGCAGCTTGTCTCTGCCCCACACTACAGGTCCCACGCCGGTCCCAGGCCCAGTCGCACCCGCAGCAACCGCAGCCCCAACCCCAGCTCAGACCACCGTGTCTGCCCGCTACAACCGGAGGAACAACCCGGACTTGGAGAAAAGGCGGATCCACCACTGTGATTACCCAGGTGAGAACAACTGTTTATGCACGCTGATTATTGTCCCTGTTGGGTGCTTATTTTTATGCTGCGCTGTGGTCAGGTGAATTATCTGGTCGCTCACAAAACTGGCTTTATTTTAAGACGCCCGTGCATTTAACAAAAAAAAAAATGACGTGTATAGAATGACTTTCCCAGGTGCGTGAGTCACACAATGTACTACAGCCATGGCCGAGCTCCTGCTGCACTGGAATTAAGTCACTTAACTTCAATCACCGCCTGTCAACTAACCACATAGTTTAAAAACTACTTCGCATTTATTGTCTCACTTCAAACGCTTTGTGCGCTCTCCACCGTGCACTCTCACTCATTGTTGTGGCTTTAAAGCAATCACTGGTATGTTTGTGGAATGAATCTGTGTGTGTGTGTGTGTGTGTGTGTTTGTTCATTAAATGGATGTTCTCCTTAAGTCATTTGATCTTTTTTCCCCCCCCCAACACATCATTTGCATACAGTCACGCTTTAAATCGTGTGCTCAGATTGCAGTTGTACAATGTGCAGCTACTTGTAGGGCATGTCGTGTCAACTAGCCTGTGGCACCGTGTAAAATAGGCTTAAGCGGAGCCTCCTGCAGCATGTTTCCACATGTCTAACTTCTATTCCATCATATCCACACAAGGACGCATCCACACTTTACCCAAGAGTATATTAGTCACGCTGCTGCTGCTCCCGGTTTAAATCTTTGCAATACATAAACTTCTATCATTTCCTTATATAAAGTCTGAATAAACCTGAAGAATAACAGTGCATATCATAATGTGCAAAAGGTTTTGTAATCCTGAACTTAACATATCTCGACTTAACTAACGGGTGTAGTGAACAGAAGTATTGTGCGATTAGCGGCATGCAGTTGAATGAATTTGATTGGAAACAGTTTAAATACCAAATAAGACTGAAAGTCAGCTGCAAAAACACAAGTTTACCATATCTCATTTCAAACAACTTCTGTTCCTCATTAGTTTGCATTTCTGTCACACCACAGCTCAGTTTATTAAATACATATGTGACACGTGAATGATTTGCATTTGGATTAAGCCTTCTGTTTGTGTTTATCTCCCCGTCTGTCGTCAGGCTGCAAGAAAGTCTACACCAAGTCGTCCCATCTGAAAGCCCACCTCAGGACTCACACGGGTAAGACATTCCTCTAGTTAATGCAGCTTTTTAAAACAGGGACTCATCAAAAAAAAAAAAAAGACACTGCCCACATGACTCTTATTTCGGTATCTGCGCTGGCACCGTGTTGCTAGGCAGAGTGTTGTGTTCCTGGCATGTGTGTGTAAATGTATCCTACCCCATTCCCATCCTCTGCCCAATATACTATTCCATCAAAACAGGTGGAAGTGACACACTTCTGCCAGGGGATGACTCTCAGACTATGTGGTCAGCGCTAGACGAATGGAGCCATCTCTCTCTCTTAAGATACCGTTGCTTGTTCGGACATTGATGTTTAAAATCTTTAATATGCTTCTGTGGCTTGTTCGCCACTATAAACATATACAAGATCCGTCTGTGCAGATACAAAAATATCTTAGATCGTCTTGATCCTAATCTCTCCACTTCAGTAATCACTGTGTGCACTCCAGTGTCCATTTTCCTTTTTTCTTTAGTCCCCTTGTTTCTAGTCTTTCTTTCAATCTGTCTCTTTCTTTCACATTTAGATTTGAACTATTAGTTTAAAATGAGCAAAGTCAACAAACAAGCACTTAGGTGTTGGGGCCCCACCTCACTCCAGCTAACACAATAAAGCTTCTGTTGATATCTACGCATTCCTCACTCATCTTGACACACACACACACACACACAACTCACTCGTACCACTTTACGATCCAGAGTTTTGTTCCCCATATGAATCTGAACAGTTGGTACAGAACATCGTTGTGGGTGTGCGTGCCTTGCATTTCAGTTTTGGGAACATGACACGACAATTAGCTCTGGCGTCATTCATGCTGCAGGCTGATTGTGGTTATAGCAGTTATTATCGACAACAAGATGAGGACACGACACGTAAAGAGGGATGTAGCAGCGACTTCCGTATCCTCCTCTGCTCGTCAGTCCCGCTTAGTTATTTTTTCTCCCCTTTTTTTCTATCGCTTTCATTCATCTAATCATCCTCTTCTCTACTTTGTGCTTTTCCTCCCACCTTCAACCCCTCCCCATTTCTATCTTTGTCTGTTACTCATTCTACTTCTCTTATTCAGCTGCTTGAATGCACACTTACACACACACACCTGTCAGTAATCTGTATGAGATGATTCCTAATGCGTTTGGGTCCCTGTGGGAGTTCCCACTCTAATCTCCATCAACATCCATTATCCTGATTGTTTGTGTGTCTGTCTGTGTGTGTGTGTGCGCGTGTGCGTAAGTGTGTGTGTTTATATATGTGTGTGTGGGTACATTGCTAGTGTAAGAACTGAACCCTTCGCTCGGTTCACTTCTCTATTTTTCTGTCTTTTCATTGTGTCTCCTCATTATGTTCAGTTTCAGGTGTGTGTGTGTGTGTGTGTGTGTGTGTGTGTGTGTGTGTGTGTGTGTTTCTAACCACAATGTGGTTCATTTCGTAACAGGATTACAGTTGTTGTTTTAGCGAGGCTGCATTGCTTGCTGTGCTTGTTTAAAGGGTTGGTTCACACAAATGACCAAAAAACACGTGTTTTTCCTTCCCTGTAATGGTATCCAGCATGCAGATAGTTTTAATTTGTCCAGGTTTTGAGATCTACATCACTTAGTTTATTGCTTCTACCTCATTTTAATGGAGGTGAATGGAATTATGTTTATGGTGCATAGAGCTTTGAAAAACTTTTTTACTGTTTTTTTTTTTTTTTTTTTTTTTTTTTTTTGGTCACACACACATTTGTCTACGATTTTTAGAAGTAGTTCCAATGGACACTGTTCATAGTGAGGTCTGTGGACGATCTAGTTATGGGGCATGTTTCTGGAAAGACACACAGTTGTTGAATTCTTATTTGCGATTTGCAGCAGATTTTATATATATATATATATATATATATATATATATATATATATATATATAAAGGGACCAGAAAAAGAAAAGACAGAAGGATAAAGGGGGCGGTTTAGCTCAGCAAGAATAAAGTTCCTTACCAACTGGCCATATTTAACGAACATCCATTGTTACCAGACCGCTAAATAAATAGAGCTAGTAGAGATATGCTTCCTGTTAAGACTTGTCATGACATTAGACTTCTTTTAATGTCAAAATAACATTCCATTCACCTTTGTTGTATTTGGGCGGGGGCACAAATGTCAGTGGCAGGTATCACAAAACCTGGACCAATGTCACCGAAATGATCTGCATGGATGGATACCACCGGATGAACAAATCCTTTAAGCTGGGCTGGGGATTTGAGTCGTGGGCTGAAGGAGAAAGGTCACACAAGTTGTTTTTCACAAAGTGCCAGGTGCTGCAGCTGTACATTAATGGAATGACAGATTTACAGAGAAGCCGACTACTTCTACCAAAGAAAAATACACCGAGGCAAAGGCCCGACAATGCGGATGAGTCAGCCGTGGGAAACTTGTTCAGCGTTAGTGCTTGATGAATGTCTGACAGTAGTCTGACTGTATATGTTGTTAGACAACTGGACTTTTCTGTAAAGCCTGTTTTCCCAGTTCCTCCACCCAACTGCATGAATCATGTGTCTCAGGGAACGTCTGTTTCAATAATGATCACTTCTTACAACCACACGTTGACACATCTCGGTTCTTTTATAGAACGCTGGAGATCATGTGATTGGACAAGAAATGCTCAGCTCATGCTGCTGCATGCTCAGTTATTCAGAGAGCAGCTGCACTAAATCACACTTGCTCTTTCCTCCCCGTTCCTGCAGGTGAGAAGCCGTACAGGTGCACGTGGGACGGCTGCGACTGGCGTTTCGCACGTTCGGATGAGCTGACGCGCCATTTCCGGAAGCACACGGGCGCCAAACCCTTCCAGTGCGCCGTCTGCTCGCGCTCCTTCTCCCGATCCGACCACCTCGCCCTGCACATGAAGAGACACCAGAACTAGCGGCGTTTGCACGCACGCACACACTACAAATACGCAAGCACTATCTTGACACACACAAAGCACTCACTCCATCTCCCACAGCAGCGATGTTACAAGCTGCCTGACGACACCACAGCTGCTCCTGGTGCCGCTATCCTGTGCTGAAACGGTGCGATAGCCTAACAAGCGTGTTGCTCTTAACTCCAAAGTGGGACAAATCGGAGGTTGTAAAGTAGAAAGATAATGGGCAGATGAAGTCCTGTCTCCCCTAACCTCCAGATATACTTGGTATATATTTCTTTGGACAATTACAAAGAAGAAAAAATAACAAAAAGGAAATGGTAGCTTCAAAATGTGTCTCCAGTGCAATTGGACTTTGTGTGACTGGATTGAAAGCACTCAAAACTTGTACATCTTTTGTCTCGTCTCTCTAACATAAAACTTTTTTTTTATAAAAGCGAAGCTTTTGTTTGCAAACTAGTCAAGCCAAATCTTTGTTTAGTCATTGGTTTGTTAGTTTGTTCATATAACTGGAATATCCAGTTTTTTTTATTTTTTATTTTTTTAACCAAATCCTTTGGTTTGCACTAGAATTGGTCATGTAAGTCTCAGCCTTTTTGGCCCATGTGTCTCATTCACTACTGGAACGATCATTATCACTACTGGACTGAATGTCTGTGAACACCAGACAAATCATTGCTGTTCAGATATTAAAAATTGAAGGCATTTATACTCTGGAGAGAGGGAAGATAGTGCAGGAAAAAACGAGGGAGGGGTGGAGATGAAGAGATTTTAGTTTTTAGCGAGAGGAGATCTGAGGACGACTGAGAAAACAGAGGAAGGTAGACGGTTGCTAAAGAGCAGCAATTAGGTGATGAATTATTCATGTTGTCTTTCGATGGATCTGCTACTAGAGAAATGTAAGCAGAACCGGTAGACGCAGAATTCATTCAGTTTAAACAGAATTGACCGTATTTGATGCACATGCTTGCGTTTTAAGCGTCTTCAAAATACAATTACTGTACATCTCTCTCATCCAGCCTTTTTTTTTTTTTAAACTGTGTTAAAAGATGTTTTAACCAAAGTACCATCTTCATCACCAACACCCTATTAAGTGCCTCCTTCTCTGATTCATGTGGTTTTGTTCAGTGGTAGCAGAGCTGTGATCAACGTAGTCCTTTAAAACACACGTGGTGCTGTTTTTATTTCTTAATCTATTGAAATCTCTCGAAGAAAGTGAATTTCTTTTTTTTTTTTTTAAATTACAAGGTTTACCCATCATTCATTGTGATTCAACAGGCCAGACCACTTCACAGACATCTTGAGATCATGTGGAACTTTTTAGAATTCAAATGACAGTCCTCTCTCTGGGGTCTTTCACTCTCTGACTCTGTACACAACTAACTTAAAATTCGGCTCTATCAGTCAGTCGAACATGGACCTATGTTTTATTAAAGGATACGTTCACATTTTTCCACAGTCTTTCTTAAAACAACATGCCCATGTGAGCATACCAAGAGTTATTTGTTGCTGCAAGTATTCCTCAAGCGATCCTTGTTTAAAACGTTTTCAGTGTAAGTGATAGGAGAGAAAATTGACGGTCCTCGTAAAAATGCATTATGTTAAGCTGAACATAATGTGAGGTGTCGTCGTATTTCAATCATTAGTGCAAAATTCCGTCTTTGCCAGACATTGGCTGTGTTTCCATAAACATATTTTTAGGTGTACTTTGAAGTATCTCATTGGAAAATCTGTAGGGAAACAAAAATATTTGACAAAACTCCCTCAATTGCACAAAAAAGACTAGACACTCACTCGAGCTGGCTTTTGACTTTGTCGAAAAAAACGTTGATGTAAAACGATATTCAAGATACGCATTGTCTAAAAATAGATCCCTATATCTCACTGAAATTGTATTTGATAGGTGATTTTGTCTTATATAGTAATCAGACAAATATACTGGTAAGATTTTGCATTTCAGCCGTACGGTTAAACAGCCAAGGCGACTTGTTTTGTTTCCGGTTTGCAGCCTCTACTTCTTCTACTCTGTAAACTGGCGGATTACAGCCACGCGTAAAGCGAGTATACCGCCAAGTACTGATGTTTTATTCCCTCCAAACCAGTTGATGGAAACGCACCTCTGTTTTGCAACATTTCAAAGTACTAAAAATAATTCATTTTGAAAGTACCCATTTGAGTTTATTTTTAGCTCATAGTAAAATTGGTTTAAGTCATTCTACACTAAAACAAAGATTGTGTTCAACATAACTTGCACTGAAATCATCTCGTCACAAGAGGAACAATTGCATCAATCAAAAACTCTTTGTTTGTTGCATGAGACGATTGTTTTAAGACTGACTTGAAAAAATGTCAACGCTGTCCTTTAATATACATTTGAATGTCCATTTTGATGGTGTGATTTTGCCTGCACCTATAACTGTATTTGTTCATTCACTGCAGGTAGCATAAAGATAATATATCACTGTAATGTATCATGGTAAATCTGACTATTTATTTGATTGTGTAGAAGTGGGGGTTGTATTAGATCAACCGTCTTTCTCCCCAGCAAAAATGCCTTAATGTAAATATATGCACTGTAAATAACTATTGATTTTATTTCCCCTCTTTTGTTATTGTTTTGTAAACAAAAGGGCAAAAAGAGTAAAATGCCCTGCATCCAAAAATATTTGAGCCTTTTTTCTTTGGTTTTGTTTTCTTGTCAAAGATATTTTGATGCCATTGTTTTATATATTGTCCTTCCAACAACTTATTTTGTAGATTTGTTTTTCTTCCTAGTTAAACGTTCCAAAGACAAAAGTTGTTTTTTCTTCAACTGAGTGAAACCGATCCCAATAAAGTCAACTGACACTTTTACAGATGTGCTCTTGTGCTGAAGTTAATGGGGAGATTTTGTCTTTTAACCTCTAACAATGAATTTCAAGGCTTATGTGTGGCAGCAACCACAATTTGTGGTACATTTAGTTTTTTGTCCATGAGGTTTGTGTTAAAGCACTTTTTTGAAGAGTAAGCCATGCTGTGCAAATAGAGAGTGTGGTGTTAGTGGTGCATTAAAACAAGCCTCGCCAGGGCCTAAATGAAACGAATGAGACATAACCACAATTTAATCTTTTACAATCCAAACATGCTTTCTGTGGAAGCGCTGATCCTGTTTGGGATTTTCTGCAGAGATCCAACAGACTTAAAAGTTCAGTTTCACCAAAGGAAGATGTGAAGGAGAGGCGAAGTGTTCTTGTCCGAGACCTGCAAGTAACCTGCAGGACCCTTGCTGATCAACAAACAATAGTCCTTTGATGTCCCAGCAAGAGACAATGGACAAGAAAATAAATTTGACCACCACTCAGGGACCGGAGGGGAATCCCACTGCATTGAAATGGACATACAAACACGTGTACGCACACACACGCACACCATATGTTCCTGATTTAAGTCATAAATGTGACCCAGGGTCTCTGTTGTAATCTACCTCAGATGTCAGAAAAGAGGGAGGTGGAAGGGGAGAGAGTGAAAGAAGTGAAATACAGAACAATCTAAACAAAAGAATCTCTGGGGGGACCCAATCAACCACTTCCGTCCTCCTACATCTCCTCTCGTTCTCCTCCGCTCCTCTGATTTAATTTCATTTTCTCTCCCTCTCTTTGTCTCTCCATGCACCGTATCCCCCTCTTCTCCCCGGTGGAAAGTATTGTATGAAAGTCCAGGGGCGCAGCTCCACGGGTCAGAGTGGAGGCTGTTCACATAACCTGCTCCGCTCCTCTTCTTTTCCCCCCTTTTCTTTTTTCATATACACACCTTGTCTCCCTTTAGTCCTCTCTGCTCCATCTTTTCCTCCACCTAAAGCTCGAGAGGGGGAATTTTATTCTCCTTTCTTTTCTTTTCTTATCTTTATTCCTTCTCTCTCCAAATTTTACAGATTATACAGAAAATGCCGACTTGCAGGTGTATTTCTGAGTGTGAGAATATTAAAAAGTTAGGATGAATGTTTCACACAAACACACACACAGTGGTGATGAGTGAGTGGGAGCTACCGGTTCATGTTTTGGATCAACTAAATTAATGTCATACATCTGGAAGAAGGCTCCTGCCTGCTCCACCCTCTGCTGTTCTGCGTTGGTGTGATTCCCAGTTTCCCTTTGTGTGTGTGTGCGTGTGTATGTAGGTATAATGTTTCCAGTGCTCCTCTCTTGGAACAGACCACCCACTCAGAAGACCAATAGAAGGACTACGGGGAGCCCGGATAGACACACACACACACACACGCACACACACATATGCAGCTCCCTCCAAAGTCAACCATTCCGAATATTCTCAGAATAGAACATGTTGTTATCAGAGATTGAAGTGATACCAGAACAGCTGACATACTATCAAAAAGAAATCTAGGAGGGTTTAATTCCAAGACGCTACGTTCATTTTCAAAAATGTAGTCATCGGTTAGAAAACGTTAGACGTTTGAAATCAAATATCAGATCAGAGCCTCATCGTTGCTGCTGATTTGAAGTATAGCGGTTCTCAATAGGGGACTGTACCTTTTAAGTCCTCCATAGAGAGCCGCTATGAGGGAGTTGCTGTGAGGACAAACACTGGAGATTCACCCTGAGCTCCATCTGGACCAGGGACATTTGGGGGGGCCGGAGGCCCAGCAGTTTTTCCATTAATCGCAAGGTCGGTAGTTCGATCTTTGGCTCCTCCTGCCCACACATCGAAGTGTCCTTCAGCAAAACACTGAACCCCATGATGGTTAAGACCAGCGCCTTGCATGGCGGCTTGCTGCTTCTCTGTGTGTTTGTGAGTAAAGCCCTTGATAGGTAAAAGCACAACATAAATGCAGCATTTCACTCAGCTCAACATTAGCTTCAACTAAAGATAATAGCTTGCATGGTTCATATTTCCTGCTATATATGTGACGTAATGACCACAAACTAACCGGCATGCAGCAATCCTCACTGGGTCTGGTTTATTCCAGGAGTACTGCTTGGTTTGCGAGGCTCAAGGCAATCTAAAATGAAGCTGGCTTGTGTAGTCTGCCATGTGCTCTATACCTGATGAGTACTTACAAGCAACAGGATACATATACACAATGCACAGAGAGTGAGAGATCAGATTTTTTCAGGGATTTCTGGTCCAGTGAATTGTGCTCAGTGACGACTGTTTCAAGTCAATGAGAGCTTTGCAGACAGCATTGATACAGCTATACAACGACATACACAAATACAAATTCTTAAATGGACATATTCGATATAAGATATGTCTTATCTATGTCTTATATGTAGAAGGATATGTCTGTTATCACTTCTGATTAGTTTGGGCAAAATAACAACCCCTCTTAAACATGGAAATGTCTGATTTAACAATGAAGTGAACTGGAAATCCCCCCCATGTTGATTCCTCCCTGACATCAACATCATCCTGTGAAGCTCATAATCAATACAGAATCAGCACTGTCTGCTTCACCGATCGCACCACATATCAAAAGGGGTCAGCCAGCGTGTAGCTACACCTGAAACACACTCTCAGACAAATGGTGATTTCACAATCTCTCATTTTGAAACTGAACACTTGAAATGAAGACCCAAAGAGCCAAACATTCCTAAGTGGTTTCAGCTGCTGCTTGTAAGGGCGAAGTCTTGTTTTATTCACAATCACAAGACGTTTTATTAATTTACTTTGTCAAGTTTGAATTCCTGGCCACTGCTTCACCATGTGAAACATAACAGTGTATATCAGTTGTCAGGGAGTTTTAACATCACTTTGCAGCGACAAATAAGAAAAAGATGACAAATCCTTCAAACCACAAGCCAACATGATAGCCGCAGTTCCTGATAAAGCAAACGTTATGGTAATAAATTAACTCTTTAGTCCAACTCTTGCAGAAATCTACTTTGATTGTCTCGAGCCACCCTAAGTTAGTTATTCCTTGAGTCAGTTCCTTCTGCATGTAAGATGAGTTCAAAGGACAAACCCATTAGGCTTTCCTCCATATCAGGCAAATATCTTTGCACCTGCTAAACACTGAGGGTGACACCCAGCGTGGGCCTTCAGAGGATACAACAGAACCCTTTTGCTTTCACACTTGAAGTGGGGAAGTGGAGGCCTTTTTTTGTGAGTTCTTATCGTGATTTGTGAAAAGAGTCTGCAGGCATAATATTGGGTATATTGCCCACATACTCACACTTAATCAAAGCTGCTCACCGTTAACTCCCTGAGTATCGGACTGAACAGCTGGAAGTTTCCTCTTGTCGTCTCACATGTTTTATGGCTTCGTAAGTGGCGATGAAGCACGTGTGGTCGCCGTTCGGGTCGTCATACTGAGCACACAGGTTCAGTCCAACATGACAGTGAACTGTATGAGGCCTTCACTCAAATCATCAATTACAAATCTAGACAAAATGTGAAAATTGTGTTTTGTGGGAGAATTCTGATAACGAAAACAAGCAACATTGGACATTTGGACATATACACGGTCCCTTGTTTCTTTATGTAATAATTCAGTAGTTTTTAAAAATGTATTTCATGAACTACAGTCTTTCTGGTTTATAGTTCCATGTTGAACTTCAGTACGCAGGTGCTTTTGGTCATGAAACAGAGATGATATTACATGTTCTCTCCTATTCTTTATTTTGGGCCTATTCCAGCCTAAATTACACCAGCGGGTATTCATAGTTAGAAAAATAATAATTTCACATAATAATACATCTCCAGCTTTGACTAGAAACTGTCCCATCAGGTACAACATTGCAATGAGACAACAAATGGAACATCTTTTTTTGCCGATTTATGCACATGCTCGTCCTGATCTATAAGTGTTTAGTCCAATTGATCTCGACCTTTCCAGGAACAGTGTGGCTCTGCTTAATCATGAAAGTGTTCCCACCACAGAATTCCACATTACACCCACTTCAGCTCCTCATTGGATTAATCAGAAACATGTCATCAGATTTTGCAACTTGTAAAGCATTGAATGTTCATAAATGAGTGTTACGATCAAAAATACTTTATGTTAATTATATGCAGTAGAGGGTCAACAACTTGTCCTTCAGTAAGATGACTTACACCTGGGTTTTGTGGTATTCTAGGAATCCATTTGTTCAGTTTCAATGTTAATCTTCATGGGAAAACCTTTACTTATTTTCCTAAGAGAACCCATAGTACAGACACTAATAAAACACAATAGTGTCATTGTTAAGTTTTTCTTTTTTTAATACTGATCGCTCAGTCTTTGGAAGACAAATTCCATAAAATCAAATTCCCAATGAGACAGTACCGTTGAGACTATCTGACCTTCATAATTGATGTGTTTCTACTGAAACATTGTCCTTAGGCAGAACATAAATCAGATGTTATTCACAATTATGTAGTGGAAACAGAGGTAGTTATATTCCAGAAGAGGTGGAGGGTCAGGACTTTGAGAAAAACATGTGATGGTTTAATGCTGGGAGTTTTCAATTCTCACCAGAAATGATCCATTGTTTTATATCAGGGAGATAGAAATGAATCTAAAAGCAAAAGATGAGCTGAAAGTATCATATGTACACGTACGAGTTCTGCTTTTTGTTCATTACTCATTTAAACTGGTCACTCAGGTTTGTGCTTCGTTGTGAACGCTAAAATTACTGACATGAATCACTTTGAACTGTTTTACCACCCTGAAGGAAATTTGGTTCGCAGCCAACAAAGAGAAGAAACACACCGATGATAATGTGACATTAATTCAGTGAAAGAGTCTCTTGTCAGCGGTTGGAATGACGTGCATAATAATTTCACCTCTTACATACAGTACGTGAGGTGACCGACCTCAGCAGGCATGTCTGCTGACAAGGGAGGGTTGTCAGCTTGATTTAGCTCACTTGGAACTTCCGGGATATAAAAGCGTGTCCACATGCTCGTTGTCCGCTCTCCCTGCATGGCCTTCCTTTGGTTTAGCACCTTTAACACCTTCACAGCACACATCCCAAACATACATGCACCATTTCCATTACTGACTTTGCTGATCTGCACACTCCATTGTTTCTTTTGTGTTAAGTTTAGTTTAATGAATTATGTGTACAACCTTGCGTGGACTCCCCACTTGTCACATTCCACGAGCCGTTTTGTGACACATATTGAGGAAAATAATCGCTTAGCAACTCATCCACTATCTCAAGTGGGATTAATAGCTCCTTACATCCATATCACATTTTCATATTTTCTACACATTGTTGAATTTAATGCTTCATGAAGGCAGTTAAACAAGCTCAAAGTATACTGACTTCATACCTATCTAATTGGCTGCACACACACACACACCCACATACACACACACACACACACACACACTGCCAGACATGCAGTCTCTTGTCGCTAAAGGACGAGCACATACTTCTCTATGTGAATAGATGTTACATAATTAAAAGAAGTTCTTACTGCTTGTCCTAACCTGTCTGACCGGACCATGTGTATACAATATTAATGTGTGCATGTGTGCGTGACTACTACACATGTCAAACCGGTTGTAAGGCTTTGTGGGTGGACAACCATGCCAGATCTGCTCCATAAAAATAATCAGCCTTCTCTTCCCCTTCTCATTACACCCACCTCACCCTTCCTCCTTTCTTCCGATGAGATAAAACATTACTCTATTATATGACGAAGGCCTCTCTCATGCCTGAATCCCCCTGCTGCAGCCCAAATATCCCCTAACACCTACACACAGTCAGTGAACACATGGCTAAGAATCACACATCCCCTACCTCTCAGCCCCCTCCTCCCACCCCCTTTCTCTCCCCTTTCTTCTTCGGCAGCTGCGCGTCATTTTAACTGTTCTCTATAAAACCTGGTATTCATAACTGCTGGTCATGATTCCACCCTCGAGTCCTACTAACATCATAACGGTAATAGTTTAATCTGTACGGTCTTGACCCTGTCCTGTTGTTTAGATGTGACCTGAGTGGGAGACAAGAGGCTCCCTCAGCACACACACACACACACACACACACACACACAAACACACACTACAGCTGGGAGCCATTGTCTCCATGAGAAAGCAATGGTTAGTCTGGCATCTTTTAAGACGTCCATGCAATTATCTATCTATCTATCTATCTATCTATCTATCTATCTATCTATCTATCTATCTCTCATGCACAGAAAAAATGGTGAGTCATGGTGAACAGCCACCAGGAAACATGGCAGAGAGACGTTAGATCCCCACACACACACACACAAACGCACACATGGCACCTGACTGGAAAACGACTACACGCAGTCTGCAGAGTTTCTCGACACCTCTGTGTTAAGAAGAACTCATTATTATAGAGAACTAATTAGCGTTAACCCTGCCTGTGACAAAAGTCCACACACAGCCTTATCTGGACAGGTTTCTAAAGGGCTGTGTTCGTGAAATCATATTTCATGTCCAAATGAGTGGCTGTCATTTTCCAAACAATTCCTCTCGAGGCACGTGTGACAGTGTTGCAACAGGGCCACAGCCATAGTGTAAATAGAAACGTACAGACTGTGGTTAATCATTGTACATCATCTAGAATCAGCTCATTTCTTTGACAAATAAATACATAACCACCCAAACAACAACAAAAAAACAACAACAAAAAATATGTTGATAAAAAAGGCTTTTATGTCATTTCACTCTTCCCAAAAACAGAGGATTGTGAACAATGATGCATCTTCCCACAGATGATGACACGGCATTGACCTCCTGAGGCAAGATATCAAAAGAAAACCATAAATATAGTCATTATCCCGGTGTCACTAAGACCACTGATTACAACATAATGATAGCCGTAGAGGTGCGTATGTGTGTGTGTGTGTGCAGGGTTAAGAGCTTGATTGAAAGTGTGTGGGCTGCGAATGTCCTAACCTTGCACACATAGGATGGGTGGAGACTCCAGACATTGTGGAGACAGAGGTTATAAACTTGGGAAAGACATTTCTCACAAAACACCATTGTTAGTCTGCTTTTACAGTTTATTTCAGATGACTTTTACAATTCTCTGAAGAACGTCTGAGTGCTGTTTGCACGGAGGTGGATTGTTTATGGGTGATGATGAACTTATATAGCAGTGACTGTAAAATACATATTATATTGCACTCCTTGATTACAGTTGTCTCCTGTCTTCATGTCGGGATGATAGATGAGCTTGATCAAGGCTACAATCTGATTCGTGTTGGTCTTACAAAACAGTACAGCTGTACTTTACACTACAGTCTGAGTTTTGACCCTTTACAGTGAGTATTTCCCAGTAAATAGTAAATATTCTTCTGAACAAAATACTTTTCTTCACTTGTATTTGGAGCAGTTTCTTTAGTTTCAGGATTTATTTGAGAAAAAAAGAGTGTCGGGACATTGAAACAAGAGAATATAAAGACATATCTGATATCTGTTTATTCAAGCACTGACTGTACAAGGTTGAAGTTCTTGTATGCGACCTGATTCATTTATACAATCTGGAGGCAAATACTGTACATTTTACTCCACTGCATTTATCTGTTACTTTGCAGATTTAGATTTGTAATACAAAACACAATAAAGTAATAAACGATGAGGTGATAATATTGTTTACAATTAGCTTCACCTCCAGCTGCAACGTTAAAGAAAATACTTACACATGAATGCTTCATGCTGAATGGTACTTTTACTTTTGGTACTTGAGAATTTTGAATGAAGGACTTTTACTTGTAACAAGAGTATTTCTACACAGTGATATTGCTGCTTTTACTTCAGTGTAAGATCTGAGTTCTTCTCCTGCCGTTGTTTATTTGTCTTGTACAGGAGACAGAACCTCACCCTACTGGCTACAGCGTGATATCCTGATAGTGCATTTCATTTGCATTTCATTTTCATCTCTCTGTCTGCTTCTTTCTTTGTCCGTCTTCTCCGTTTAGTTCAGCAGCTGCTTTATCGGCAGGATGCAGTGAATCCATATAGTGCGAGAGGTGTCAAAATCAATTCAACTCACTCCAGACTGTAACAATTAAATGAGATTTAATTAACTATTTACAGTGTCAGCCGGTATTGCTGCCCATTTCCCCCCTCACGCATGACACTCAATCTGTCTGTCTGTCTGTCTCACCACCGATCAGGCCCCTCCTGTGTCTGTCCGCCCCTGGGAGCTGTGTGCTGGTTGTGTGAGCATTGAAGACGAGCTGCAGCTCAGCGGCTCTGCTGATGTTTTCTATTGTGCAACTTCTCCACAGCTTCTAGTTCCGTAGAAATCATTATAACTTTTCCCTTCAGGCCTGCTTCATTCTCCATCACTTACTTATTCTCCCACCCACACACACACACACACACGCACACACACACGCACACACACACACGCACACACACACACAAGTTGCTCCACCGAACACAGTCAGAGGCAGAAATAATATTTTCACTCAAAGGTTCTTGAGCTCTGCAGATGGGATAACATGCCACTATTTTTGCCGGACCACCTCTTCCTGGAGGTTGCTGTTTGCGTAAGTTGCCCCCTGGTTTTAGGAGGTCTGTCCGTTATGGAGCTTGTCATCAATAAGGTGCAAAAATAATTAAATTATACAGTTTCACTTTGCTGCTTGGACCAATTATAATCCATTTACCCTCAGTGGTATGATCGATGAGCTGATGGTCAGAGGGATTTTATATAATGTGTCTCAGACAATTAGGATTTGCTGCCCTCTACTGCTTTCTTCTCACATTACATGTTTGCTGCTTTGTTACACGACACTCAGTACGGAAAAGCTAATCTCGGTGGTGAAATATAAATCCATCAATTACAACATTATTGCTTTCACTCATGGCTTTCACTACACTAACATTTCCCTAACTGATCATATCATCTTCACTCAAGCAGTCATAAGAAAGCCTTTTCAGTGAGCTCCTGCAACACAGTCAAAAAAACAGAAGAGAAAATTAGTATTGCAACTAATTGCAACTAATAAATAATTCGTTTTTTGTGTTTTCTTTTTTATGATTGGTGGCTTTACGCCATGTGTGTTCTTATTGCTGTTGTTGATGTTTATTTATTGCTAAGCTGCATTGAAAATCAAATAAAGTGTATTTTGATTTTGATGGTCAAGTTACTGTATTCTTTCACTTCATAACACAATATGTTTTTTGTAAGCTGAGTCACAAACCTGTTCATGAAACTGCTGATTCCAAATTATTTAGTGTCCCTTTAAAAATCACATTAAATATCATATTGAAAACTCGTGTGGCTGCTTTGTGACTGTCGGACATGTCTGGGGTTGGCTACTGATTATATTTCTCATCTGCAAACCACGCCAGCCTTAGTTTAGACTGATCCAGGTCTTGCATGATCTTTGATAATTCACATTACTTTAGAACTGCATCTTCAAATTGTTATATTCTGTTTCAGCATTGTTCTTTTTTATTTGTCACGTTGCACTTTATTGTATTCTTATTTATTAAGATATTGTTACACTTGTTTTTTCTTTATGTTTTGTTTTTTTGTACAGCACTTTGTAACTTTTCTGTCTCTTCACTTTGTCCTGTCTGTCCAATCAGTACTTAACACCAGAAATGTTGTTTTTGAAGAGAAACAGACATTTCTAATTTGGTGAGTATGTTGTATCTCATTTCCACTGCTCTTCCTTTACTATTTCATTAACATATTTCTCCATGCAACACAAGTCCAACACATGATATACTTTTCACAATCACAATACATCACTGGGCAGGACAGGTGTACCAAACCAGGAACGTTTATTAGATACTGTGTATGCAAAATGGTGGCAAATATACAGAGCTTTAAGTAGAAGTGAGACAGAACATATTAAGTGTTAACGCTGTCAAGGTTTACATATAACTTAAAAAACTGTCAGCCACATGTAGCCCAACTCATCCAAACCAAAAGAAAAATACTCACAGAGAAGCAGAAAGTGTATTCACACACTTGACTACAACATCAGTCCTTGGCAGGAGGAGTAGGAGCTGAGCAGGACAGCAGGTGACAGAGGGAGCCAGTCCTTTATAATGTAGTTCATAGGTCAAATAAGGTGAGAAATGGCATTAGGACCAAACCCCATTTAGTAACAAATACTCAGATTACCAGGTTGGCCTTGTTTGGTTCCTTGAAGTGCTGAAGGCAAAAATCACAGCACAGTCAGAGGTTTGGGAAACATTAGATGGGCTTCATACCAGGCAACCATACAGTAGAGCTGCTCTCCAGGTTTAGAGAACAGAGGCCTCCAGCACATAACAAAACAAACACACCCACATTTGAAACATTTAAACCTGTCAATTGTTTTGTTTCTGTGACTTTTTAGTAGCAGCTAAGCACAGAATACTAATTTCATACAGAGGTTTTGCATCTTGTGTGTCTATAAGTGGATCATTTTGTCAAATAAAGGAAAGTATGAAAAATTATCAGTCAAAAAAAGGGGGATTCATTTTATTTTTGCTGAAGGGAGGGTAGTAGTAACTTCTTTTGAGGGAACATCTGTTGTGTTCTTCCTATTCCCATATTTATACGTTATTTCAGCCTTTCCTGTGAGATTTAATATACTAAATAAATGGATTAGTGGATCATAAAAGTGTGTTTTGCCATATGCAGAGAACAATACTGTTATATCATTTTGAGATTTTCGGGGGGAGGGTGTTGTATAAATAAAACATAATGTTCAGCCCCCTGTCACACCCCAATAATCCAAACAATAATCCAAGTGTGTCTTTGAATGTCTTTGCTGAATTGAAAGGATTATGTAATAGGTATTATGTATCATCTTTTAATCATAGTCTTAATAATCACACTCAAATCAAGAAAACAATGCACATTTAACACTAAATCTGTGAATCCTGGTGATTTCCAACAGAATTATAAGCTTCTCCAAACCTCCCACATGTAGCGAGTTTTAATGAAGACACATGTACACGACAACCTTGTTCAACTCATCACCACACACATTTTTAGGAAAGTTTGGTCCAGCGTACACCATTTATTTGACACATATTATTCCAACCAACGTTACATGCACATACACACATCCTTCTGGCGCTTCTGTGAAACTAGATAACACTTTAGCCCACAGTACTCAACACCCTGCATCCACCGTCACAAACCAGAATCATATGACGTGAAATAGTTCTACCACTTGGACAGTTAAAGTTTGCTTTGGGTGCCTGGTAACATTAATATTTCTGACTTTTTATCCGGAAATACGTGATACGGCCTTGGTGTTCATCGTTTGGTTGCTGAGCTTCCAACAACAACAACAAATCTACCTCTACTATTACTTGAACAGTGGGTTTGATAGCACCTGATAAGGTTATAGAAGTCCATTTAGAGTATGTTATTTCAATAAGTGAATATATTGTACAGCAGTTAATTATGAAGCCCTGAGGTCAGACATTTAAATTCTTTATCACGTCCACAGATAATGACTTAGATTATTAAATATCTTCACTGACAACTGTCTCACTCTCCGGATACAAACACAGACAGACTGTACAGAGATGGCAAACTGGCACACACAGCAAACCACAAACATCTGCATTGCGTTACCACAAAACAAACAGTGAAGGTGATTTATTTCATGGCATCTTTTTGATTTCGGGATAATCTTTTGACTGACAAAACTGGATGAAAGACAAATATTTCTGTCATGGCGGCTGAGCAGCACCTTGCTCCTTCCCATCCGTCTTTGTTTACTCCCGTTTGCACATCTGACATAAATAAAAGATATTAGATGACTCTGCTATCTGTAAAAGGAGACAAGGTGGAAAATGGAGCGAAAAAACTCCATGCTGCTCTAGCAAGACCCATCAAAATGACATTTCTCCTCGGCTTGATATTGGTGGTTAGAATTTGTTTTAAGGTTATATTTGGAGACGGGATGCTCTGACTCTAGGGGGGCTCAGCTCTTTCCTCCAAGATACAAACTAGGTTCCTACATAGTAGTTTACCCATGTAAACAAATAAAATCCATCACTAGGATAATTTCTTCCACCATTATCATGTTTTATGGATAATTAATAAAATTACCTAATTTAAAAAGACATTTTATTTGGACATTTATGTTTTTGAGATGTGATAAAATATCATATTAAAGGATGTAGAGTTGACTCCAGTGGCACCACTTTTGTGAAATATTACTTGAGGTGAAACATTACAGCAACAAGGGCATAGGGCTGCATAAAACATTACTCTACTGCGGAGGTGATAGATTTATTTCTATAGTTTCTATTATTCACACCATGCAGGACAGGAATTTTACCGTATTCATTTTTTTTAAAATCTAAACTGTTCACTAATCATTCACATCAACTCTATTTCAGGACATCAACACTGAACCTCTGCAATGAGAGGAAAAAATGACGGAAAAGGCACTATAGAAATATCTGATTCATGGCTGATCAATAGAGCCGGCTGGACAGAATAATCGCTTCAGGTATCAACCTGAGAGTTTAAAATGAAGCCATGTTTGATCTATTTGCTCTAAAACTCAACCCTCTTCTGAACTAAAAGAAAAACAACATTATAAGGGAGGATCCTTGGCCCTCCTCTTCTGATAGATGGTAAAAAGGAGACGACATGAAGCCGCTCAGCTCTCAGTCAGCAGTTGGGGTGATAGCAATTTTATAATATGGGCAGAAAATCTTCAAATATTACCGTTTGTTTCTACCTCTCACACTCATATATAATTTGTTTCCAAGTAACCATGGCCTTGCACAGTCCCTGGTGCATAATTTCTTCTCTTTTTTGCTCTGAGCCGAGCGATATAAGCACTACAGAAAACCTCCGCAGATTGTGACAAATATGTGCTTCACCATTGTGTGACGCATGCCTGGGGGTCATTTTGCTTTGAAGAGCTGGATTTTATCATTTTCAGCCTGCCTCGTCTATTTCTGCTTCAGTGATGATTGCATCCAGGCCCCTTCAGACCACAATGTGCCTTGCAGGTACACATATTGCATCAGGGCCTTCTGAGGTGGAGAAGAAGTATTCTGACCTCCAGTGGGTTACCATCTCACCTTGCTGCTACTCTCCAGGGTGTGTCAGTACACTATGAGATCAGCAATGTTTGTTTTTTTACAAGGGTGTTTCGCCTGGTCGGTGTTGTGTTTGGCCAGTACTCAGTTGCCTCGACTGTTTGGTTCATTTTGCACACAGGAGAAGTTTGCCTTCAGGGCTGTCTGCCAGAAAGGGTTTAGTTGAACCCAAATCATGATCCTTTCCTAAAGCTAAACAACTAGGTTTGTTGCCTAAGCCTAAAGAGATTTCTGGAGGAAAACATCTCCCATGTTTGCTCGATTTATGCAACCAGTGCAGCATGAAAGCATGGTGGAATTACCAAGCTAGCTAGCTAACTAGCAAGCCGAGTAGGATTTAACAATTCAATGATTCTTCCACACACTCTGTTTGGGGCGTAGGAAAGCACATCGTTATTGCCGGATGAGTGACAACTTTGTTCGGCTCATTTTCTGTAACCACTCTAGCACGAACGCTCGGTGGAATTAGCAAGCTGAGTAGCCAGCTGCTAAATAAGTAAAATTTAACAACGTCATCCATCTTTACATGCAGTCTACGGCACAGCACAGTAGGGCATGACGAGACAAAACACTCTTGGGAAAATAAATAACGTGTATATCTAAAATGGCTCCAGTTTGATTTCACATCAAATGTGTGTGTAATTAGTCAATATTCAACGTTAAAATCACAAGTTGACAACTACATGACATGACAGGGTGTTAACATTGCTACTTTGAGGTGAACATTAATTAAACACATTTCGACAAGTGCCACAATGACAACAACAATGCTTTGGATTAGTGAAAAAGTAAAAAAAAAAAAATCACAATCTTGAGTCTCAGTGATTATGGACACACACTCAGTGCAGCAATTTGTAAACAAAATATACACATACATACTGTACCTTGTACTCTAAATCTACAGTGGACATCTTTTCTATTTTGGTTATAGTCATTACTTTTCCATCTTATTTCATTGGCATTTTTTTTTTTATATAATCCATTTAATTTATCTACGTATATTTACAGAACTTATTAATTTATTGACATATTTTTTTCCGAGAGCAGTGTCATTGGGTTCAAAACTAAGAGGATTATCTAGCAAACATGTTGCTAACTTAACAACTCTCCTCAAAGTGCAAGACTGCGATTAGAGAAAGTGCATGAGTCCTGCCAGCGAATCGCTCCACAGCTCTGCTCTGCCAGCGTAAAGACCCTCGCCGTCTTACTGTAATATGTATTCACACATCGAACCATGCTGATTGAGCAAGCACACATCAAAACCTTTCACTTAAAAGTAACGTAACGTGATTCCAGCATGTCAATAACATGTTGACTGCATAACATGTGAAGCAAAGCAAAGTGGACTCCTTATTAAAGCTACAGACAGCAGTGTGGTTATATGGTCTGAAGACAGCAAGTGCATTTTAATCAGACAAACGCTCGCCTCTTCTCTCACACTTCCATTGGCTGGACGAGAGGTGGCGGGTCTAAATCTGTTACTTGGCAAGAAATCTGCCATTTCAGACGAGATGGTATTATGCGATTGTTCTTAAAAACATGTATAATAGTCAGTATATCCACAGGTTTTATTTCCTGCAAAAGTTCTCATTAATAGAAACAATCCAGTTATAAAATCATGAATCATGTTTCTGGACTTCCTGACTTCCAAAGCCTTATCTATATTAAGATGTGTTGCAACATTTGGTTTTCTGGGACATCTTATAAGCCACCAGTGAGTACGTTTTTACTTCCTGTACCAAATCTTGCCAAGCAATATTAATCCGATCCCCCGCCATCTCGCTTACCAGATTGTACTCATTGCTTAGTAACACTGGCTTACTTACTTAACATTCAATCAAGGAGATTTTGAACTTGTTGTGCCCTGCAAAGCACAGTTAACTACGCGAGTACTAAAATAGACAAATAAGATGAGTTTATCCACCTTTGAAAGTGTTTGTACAAAGTTAGGTTGCAGATTAAATGGCATTTTTTGTTAAAGACCCTGAAAAACTATTTTCTCAATCCGCTTCTTTTTATGAGAGAACATTTTTCTGCCAAATCCCATTTTCCCACGAGAAATGTATGCTTTTGGCTGCGCTCTTCTCATGATTTTGAAATACTTGAATTAAGATAAAACAGTTGTGTAGTTGTTACTTTATGTTGTCAGTCAAATCTGATCAAACCACCCACATGCTGAGTTTTAAATGTTTTGTTTAAGTCTTAATAAATACACCAAAACATTAATTGTCCTTTTTTAGTCATGAATATTTAGCTTTTAAAAAAAGATCTTTTTTTGAGTCTTTCTTGGCTCTTTTGAAGTGAGAGGCTGTGAGTTGGTGGCACACTGCTGTGTGTGGCTTTACGGCACCTGCCAGTCTTCCTCTAGTGAATACAGTATGCAGCAACACGACACATCTGGGTCACAATAACTGTAAATTTACATCCTCAGGCTCAATGTCGCACACACAAATGGCAGTTCCACTTGATAAATATACACACACACACACACACACACACACACACACACACACACACACACACTTTCAAAACCCACCTGGAGCGAAAATCATTTTCACACCAAACAAGAGAACATCACGATCCAGATTCTTTATGCATGCATGCAGCGTGTGAACACACCTGGTTGTCCTGGGTTACTAAGCTTTTGTTACAGGCTCACAGGTGTTTTTGCAGATTGTAAATATCGAGCTACATGTAGCCTTTTAGCCTGACGAGTACAAGTTTGAACACTCAACACGGGTGATTCAGGCTGATATCAATACCTTCACTCTTTGATAAGACTTAAGACTTGAAGCTGACATCATTTAATGGTGAATTTGTCCCGGTTTCATTGTTCCCGCCTGCGTGTCTGCTTGTGAAATAGCGCCTGCTGACAAATCCTTAGTAAATCTATGTGGTTAGAAGTTGCAGTTGAGGCATGTGAACTGTCCCATGGCTCATGATTCTCTAGTCGTGTGTTAATGAATATTTACAGTACCACGGAAAACAACTAGAGGAAGAGAGACACAGGCTTGGCACTGCTTCAGTATAATAACATAGACACAGACTGCAGTGTCTGTACAACCGTAGTGAAGTGTACATTTGTGGGGATTGTGTTTGTGTGTGTGTTATGTTTTGCGCTCTGGCTGTCCTCCTCTTCCTCCTCCTCGTCCTCACTGTGTGGGGGAGCAGTCGTCTAAATCCAGCAGCTCTTTGACCAGTCTCTCTCCAAACTGCGCTCGGCTGTATCGTTTGACTGTGTAGGCGTCAGACATCTTGTAGAGGATGTACGCGTTGTTGATGGCGATGCTGATGCTCAACCAGAACACCTGCTGCCAGGTCTTGTTGGGTTTATGGAAGATAAAGTACCTGTGGGAGGAAAATAGCGACTTACTCCACGGTTTCTACAAATGTTCTATCAAAAAAAATATTATGAGTGTGACTTCTGTGTTTTTCAACCTGGACATGTTTTGTGTCTCAGTGACTAATGGGTACAACAATATTTGAAATTGGTCCAGTATTGAGGAAGAGTGCTGCAAACGGCTGCCTCGAAACAAGCTGCAGGGCGATTCAAAACGTTTTTCTTTACCTTTTTCGCTCGATCCAGTCTGTTTATTACTGTGTCTAACTAAGCCTCACAGCAGTATCGTTATGAAATCTCGTGAGAGGTGACTTGTTGCCAAAGACAATGGTGGAAATGTGAGTGAGAGTTGGAGAGAGGAGTGCCAGGAAGAGTTTGCTGTCTTGGTGAACAGAAAGCGTTCCCTTAAAGTTATCTTAAAGATTTTTTAAATGTCATGGCTGAATATTTAGCTGACAATGTGGAGAAAGCAGGTTAAAGGTCACACGGTAATTGTATCGTCTTGAGACAACTTGCTATGTTGTACATACTTGCTGTACTTGTCGTCATATTTGCAGATGTAGCTGAGGTGCGCCGCAAAGGCCTCAACAGCCAAGGGACATGCGATCTCCCCACTTTTCCTCTTTATGATGATACCTGCCACAAACACACACACCGGAAAAAATGAGAGTGAGAGACACACAGCAGAGATCCCACTGAAGGGACTCATTTTCTTCAGATTATGTGGTCTCCCGAAAAGGAGCGCTCCTTTACACGAGGGAGTCTCCCCAGCTGCCCTTTGTTCCCATTTATAATTTAGCAGACCTCTTCATTATTTGACAACTGCAGGGCTCATTTGTTAATTAGTCTTTTTTGCAGCAAACACTCAGACTTGTCCCAGCTGGAGACACACAGATAACAACATCATCAACTGTTTCATTCCATTTAAGTACCAGCGAGCCGTGACCGTGAGCCAGCAGGCACAAGATACTTAAACAGGTACATGGAAATGGAAATGCAGCCGTTATTAATGTTAGCGGTTACATGTGTGGCACTAAAAACATTTCCTAAATGACTGGATGGATGCTCCACGGTCTTAAGATTGTTAACGAAGAAGAACATCTCAGCTGTTCTGTGAACTTTCAGTATCTCCATAACTGTCTGGTAAAATCACTTCCTGACTAGATTTGGGCAAGAAATACATGATGCAGTTGCAGAATTATGCTTCATTTCATAACTGCAACACCTAGTTAAAATAGCCGTGAACTAAATCCAGACTCTTGTTGTCATATAAAACGCTTACGTCAACACTGAGTTAATTATATAACAATCACTAACCATGATATAGTTTTATTTTAAACCATAATAAGAACACAATATTGTGGCTATTGATGGGACTCAACTCATTTTGTTCTCCTTTTTTAGAGTGAAAAACACTTCCAACCAAACACACACGCGCACACCTAGGGGAAAGAAAATCAATATGGGATAGAAACAGTTTAACTGATCTGGTACTTTGCTTCCACATTCTTCATTCAAAGAGTTCAAACACACTGTGGCCCTTCAACTGAGTTTAAACCGAACAAAATTGTTTCAAGGAGAGTGGATTACGCTTTGAGAGAAGGGGAATATCATGATCCTGCCGCCTCCTGGAAAGGGATTATCATGGATTAGAAGCTCTCATTGATTTTTCCTGACACAAATGCTTAACGATGTGCCAATTTCACCTGATGGCAACATCCAGAAACAACAGTAAAGCTTGTTTTATTTTCAATAAAAAAAATTGTCATTTGCACATTTGTGGTTTCCTACAATTATAAATACATGCATTTTGTGCAGCAATGCATATTATGTGCACCGTCTCCTGTCTCCTGTACTAAAATTCTTCAAATATTTATGATTCAACAAGACACATCTACTTTCAGAGTTTTAGTTCTGGGTGCATGAGCAGCGTTTACCTTGTTTTGTTGGGGAATAACCGTTGGTGAGGAACCTGAAGTGTCCCTTGTTGTACCAGCTGATCAGTGACATGCTGCCTTTCATCATCACTCGTGATTGGCCGCGCTGCGCTGGTGTAGAGCTGCAGACCAGCATGTTTTGTGGTAAGCCTGTACAGTCGCTCTTCCTGGTGCTCAGCAGACCACAACAGTAGATATCTGGAGACGGCATAAATACAAAGACATGTTGGCATTTGTATGTATACCTCTGAAACAGAAAGACATTCTACGAGTATATACACGGATGTGAGGAAATATACTGTACAGGCACGTATTCACAGTAGATAAAATACCAGTTAAAGATTCAATAATTTGTATATTATTCAGTTGTCGACTGGCAGACAATTAATTGGTCACAATTTTAATAATTTGTTAATTACTCAGTCATTTTTTTAAAGTGAACTATTGCAAATAGTTCCTGGTTGCAGCTTCTCAAATATTTATTAGTCCTCTATGACATTAAAGAAAATGATTTTGCGTTTTTTAATATTGGTCAAACAAAACAAGACATTTTTTATTTTACAATTCTCTGATATTATTTGAATAATAGCCAAATGATTAATCAAAGAAATGATATCAGGATAATTATTATTTGCAGCCCTACAAACATGAATTACTTTTCTATCTTGAGCTGAAATGATTAGTTGATTTATCAACTAGTTGATCGACAGAAAAATAATTGACAATGATTTTAATAGCGACTAAATGCTAATTTAATCAAATTGATTTTAAGCATAAAATGCCCAAATGTTGGTTGGACAAAAAAAGCAACTTGAAGATACCTCCTTGGGCTTCAGGAGATTGTGAAGGCCATTTATTTCACTGTGTTCTGACATTTAATAGAGCAAATTATTATTTGAAAAATGTATTAATAACTGTTCCTTTCAGCCCTAGTTTCATCCATCCCTGCAGTAACTGCCAAGTATGTTTTGTGCTTTTCATGCATTCTGCTTCCGAGTTAAACCAAAACTCACAGAACGAAATACTGTAGAACATTTATCTCTCTCACAGCTGTCCCACTTCTTCTCTTCATACGTCATTTATTTTCTATATTTCTTACATGGATGAGCAGCGGCGAAACTATTATGTGGCTGAGTGCTGCTGATTTGTTAATGTTCTCAATTTGGACAATGATTTCTATCTGTGTAATACATGTCTGTGTGTGTGTGTGTGTGTGTGTGTGTGTGTGTGTGTGTGTGTGTGTGTCCACAGTAAGTGCTGCAGAGGTAATTAACTCTGCTAATTAATCCAGTATGATAAATTTGAAAGAAAAATGTCGGGCAATGCCTTTGCAAGCTCAGAGCTGAGTTTTCTTTCGGCTGAATGGCTTGTGATAGCTTTGTCCAATTAGGATGACAGAGTATTGATCATATCTCTGGATTTGTTTTTTCTTTACTTGGCGTTTTCAACTCTGCCCGGTTGAGTTTAAAATTGCTTTTCTGTTATTGTTTAGTGAGAGAGCATTTGTGGTAATGGGAATGTAAAAACTTCGTGCTGATGATATCATCAAGAAAGCTTGATCTGTTTTGCTGATTATTTGATCGCTGTTTTCTTAACCGATTTGCTAAATTTGAGCCTTTTTATGGAACGAGGACACTGTCCCACATTTGCTATTATTATGAAAGAAGAAAACAGGTCACTGAAGAGAATTCAGTGACTCACCGTAACCACAACAGGATTATATGCTTTCATAATAAAGTATGCCTTTAGTATAATGAACATGAAATCCAGAGCTCTGTAAAAACCTGCTTCAAATATGGATTATCAGCATAAAATATCACAATTTCTTCCAAAACTATTTCCTGCAGATTAACTTCTGATAAATGATCACATAAGATCATGATGAGAATATGGGGTGTTTTTGTAGGCTATAACAGAAAAAGTAAAACAACAACTGTTTGGATTCAAGTGTTCTCATTGTTGTGTGTTGCAGTAAATGCCGTTTCTTTCAAGTCGCCACTTCACGTATTGATTTTTTGAGCTATGACCAGGCTAAACACTCCCCGCTGAATCTTCCATGATTTATTGTGCAAGTTAAAAGACAATTAACAGTCTATTGCAGAGCATCGTGGGGCTGTTATGGTCGATGTTGGTTGAACAGTGGAAGAAAGCCATGCATCTTAACAAGTCACTTAGCGTAAGATTTAGTTGTCAAGATGTAGAAGAAAACATGTGGGCAAAATTAAAAATTTCTACAACATCAAGCTTTTTCTTTTAGACATTTTTTCTCGTTTTAGAAACATTTACGTCCTTAGCTGAGAAAACGATTACAAGAACAATCCACCAGCCTATGTTTTCATTGACATATGACAGAGACATGATTCTGCTTTTACACATTCTTCGTATGGTAAAAGATGTTTCACTCGTGGTGCAAAGCCACAGGAAGAAAAAGAAAATGAATCATTCTAGTGATTGGAAGTCTCGTTTGAAGGTGAAATGCAACAGATTGTCTCCCTCTCTGTGCTATTTAGCCTGGAGACGCAAAAATGCAAAGAGGGAGGGAGACGAGATGAGGAGAGAGAACACAGTCTGCACACCAAAGCAGAAAAAGGGAGAGAGATGACAGAGGAGCAGCAGGAAGATAGAAAAAGAAAAAGGTGTTTCATTGAGGCAGCATGACAGAGACAGACCAATATTCACTATTTGCTGGTGCAACTTGTTTGTGTACCTTGTTTGCTGAATTCGGTGAAGAGGCTGAGGCTCGTTATGGACGGCCCGGTGAAGATGATGGTGTTCTTGCCAGAGATGTTCTGGCAGAGCTGCTTGGCCACGAGGCTGTGGAGCTGAGGCTTGTTCTTCAAGGTGGCCAGACCATCTGTGCCCTCCTTCAGATGGACTGAGATCTGCCGAAAGAGAAAGGACATGTAGAAAAAAACAGATAGAGAAACCGCTCATTTCATTTCAGTTCAAAATACCATTTTATTCTCATCTAACTTTTAATAAATTAGGCTCTAACTTTTCAAAATGTCCCAAAAAGTTTTAGGAGCACCCGCTGGGGCTGCGAATATGAATATTTCATGACAATCTGGCCATATGCTGTTGAGGTGTGTTGCTCTGGATCAAGACAGTCTGAGCTGTGTCGTAGCTCAGCACACTGCTACATGACGCCCTTTTAAGTCTCAGAAGAAACATGGAGAAGAGCTTGGCTTCCAAAGAAAGCCATTATCAAACACATACAAACAGAAATGTACACCCACAAACAGCTCAGTGTCCTTCTTACACTTATATTCCTGCTGTTGTTCACAAGCTTAACGGCATTAGCCTGATTAGCCAGCATCTACGTCAGGCCTCTGGCTATTACACTAAGTGGTCAGTACGTAACTCTGTGTGTTCTCGTGTCCCTGTGTGGTGCACTGGCTAATGGAATCTCATTGATTCACTCCATTAACTCGTTTTATTTCTGAGATTTTTTTTTTTGTCTCCCTCGACCCAATTCATTTAAAAGAGAGAAGATGTGAGTGCAGACACACATCAGTTGACTGGTAAAGACTGAGTGACTGTCAAATGGCCACGGTCAGTGTGAATGCTAATGCTTATTTTTTAAACGGATTGGATAATGGGATATTCCTTTAAATGACGGAGATGCTTCTTGCACACAGGAGATTTGGGTTTACAAGAAAAAAATATGAATTGATGTTATTTTTTTTTATTCGATTTAGAGCCGTGATAACAAAAAGAGAGTAAACAGGCAAATCATAATTCTGATCGTGATCCTGATCCGAGTCTGATCTCCACTAATGTAATTGTGGACTACATCCAGGCTACAGAAGGAAACACTTTCCCTGCAGCTTAGTCTTGTGACTGAGATCTTTCCACTTTTGGATTCTCTGCAGTGACAAAACATTTCTTTACAATGTGGTGTAGTTGTATTGCTGTACTTCCTACCAGATTTAGTAGTTAGGAGGCTTCTTCCTTCACCTGTCACCAATTTAACAACACAGACCAAACATTGTAACCTCTTGCAGGTTTTGAATGCTTTCTCCTCCGTCCTCTGTAATGGTACGGGTTGGTCATGTCTGTCAGTCCTCCTGCAGTTAGATTGTGGTGTTACATAAGGAACAGTAGTGGAAGGTTGCAGGAAGAGAACGGTTGTTAGTGAGCAGCAGCCCTGCCGTGCTGAATATGGCTGAATGCCATATGATGCAACATCGACAAGCTGAGAATGAGATTTGAAACTCGGTGAAGATCAAAGTCTCTGTTTTTAAGAGCTTTTTTTTCGATTTCAGCAAGACTGAAGACTTTTTCTTTCATTTTTGATGTAAAATATTAGATTTCGGTCATAAAGTTTAAAAGCAGCAGATTAAAATACCCTCGAAGCCAACACACAAACATGTACTCTTTTCTCTCTCATCTCTTCACTATATTCTGCTTCCATTCAGATTTCTGATTGCTTATGAGTGTTGTTTGCTGCTACCTGACAGATGAATCCGGTGGAGGTACACTGTCGTACCCAGAGGCTGAACTTCCTCTTCTTCCTCTTCCTCAGCTCTCTTTCCGTACAGGTGGTGATGAACACCGGATCCTCGTCTATCAACGGCTCATGAAGAACCTGGAAACACACGGGCAATGTAACTGTACATGTGAGTTTGTCTCAGTGGATTTTTATATAACAATGCCACAAGTAAAGTACACAATGTGTTCCTGGAATAATAGCTGGCCTTGACAAGGGAGAATAAAAAGTATTTGTGTGAGGCATAAGAATGAGGTTGTGTGTGATGTAACATCACAGCTCAGGGTTAGAGAGAAGGCAGCCAATTGAAGATCCTCATAAGCTTGCGATACTGCAGAGAGAGAAAAGAAAAAACACTGTTCTTGGCAGAAACCCACTCTCAACTGTGCAAGCTGTCTGAAAAACCCTTCTTTTGCATTTTTATGTTATCCCCTTCAGTATTTCTCTTAGTCTGTCTGTTTCCATCTGTCCATAACCACTAAAAAACAAAGTAAAGACAGTACTTTCATGGTATGTGCTTGAGTATTCTAGCTTCAGACCAAACCTCATGAAAAATGAACTAAAGAAAAGTCTACATAGACAAGACATGACTGTAACTTTGTCCTGAATTTTACCTGACGCAATAAATTCAGTGAGCCTTGGGGTTCTGCTGCAAGGAGCAAATTGATCAAAATTAAAATACGATGGAAAAGAAATACATAAAAATATAATAGAGACACACAACTATTTTCATGCTTTTAGGATTCTCCACCTTCAGAACAAGCAGAGTAAAAAGCTGAAACAATGAGTCAATCAATTGATTACTTGATGGTCAGAAAATGAATCTGCGACCGTTTTGGTCATCAAGTAATATTAATTCCGATATATTAAAAAGTATATAATTTGCTCCGATTTCTCAAATGCAAAAAGCTGCTTTTCTTTGTTTCCCACGATAGTAAACTGAATATCTTTATGTTTTCTTCCCCAAAGAAGTCACATCAGCCCCTTGGTGGTGTGGTTATCAGTCAAACTGATGAAAATAACTAAAGAAATGTCAAAGTATTTTTCAAAAGTTGGGTGAACTGTTCCATCTGCCTCTTGTGCTTTTAATATTTCCCTGGCCTAATCACTGTCTCTTCTCTTCTAGTTAGGATCAGAATCAGATACTAACGAGGAACTTCCTAACAGGGATTAAATAAATCTGGGAACTAACAGAACATTCACGCACAAAACCAAATATTATCTAACCCTTCCTTGGACGATTACACGAGCTTGGTACATTTATCTATTCATATTTTCCAGAGATGCTTTCAACCGCACACAACAAATATTTGCATTTCAAATGTTTCTAGGCTCTCCCTTCCTCCGGTGTCTACCCCGCCTCCTCCTCCTCCCGCTCCATCATGGTTTGACTAAAGCTGAAGTGAGCAGTGACCAACAGCTCTCTCCTGCTCCAGGACAAACAGCAACAAGTCATTTCCAAGTCAAATGTGGAGTTATGGATTACACAAGTGGAAAATGAATGAGGCTATCTAGCCTCTGGATGGATGACATCAACCAAACCATAATGGCCTTTTAAGAAACATCTCATCCTGTAGCTGCCACATTAGCACAGCCTTTACTACTGCAGCACGTTTCTCTTGGTGACCAGATATTTCTCTGCGTCTTATCGTAACAGCTGAAAACAAGGTGGATACATTTAAAGCACACAAGTGCTTTAAGTTAATCATCTAAACAGGTTCACTTATCCTGTATTGTACTAAGAAAGGAGGAAAATCCATCTATCCACTCATTTGCTGTCTTGCAGTGGATGTTCTGTTAGGACTGTGACAAATGCTCTCAAAGAGGTTACTTGTGCAAATCAATACAAAGCAGTGTTAACAGATCATCTCAGCGACGGCAAAACTGACAGACTGACCCAGAAATTTGAAGCGTTGCTGGCAAAAGGTTCTGACATAACATGCTAATATTCAGCACCGATGTTGTTCTCACACACACACACTCACTCACTCACTCACTCACTCACTCACTCACTCACWCACTCACWCACTCACTCACTCACWCACACACACACACTGTTGAATAATGCTAAGTGGCAGATAAATCCAGGTCATGCAGCCTCACATGTAAAGAAATATTATATATAGAAGAATTCAAAAATGTATACAAAGCAGTTCCCTCCCTTTGTTCATTTACCCTCAAATAAAAATATTACTGAATTGACTTTTTTTTATTGATAATTAATCAGCCACTATTTTCATAATGAAAATACGTAATTTCGAAAAAATAACCCAAACCCTCTTGTTACAGCTTCTTAAATGTGAAAATGTGCTGGTTTTCTTCCATAATATCAAACTAAATAATGTTGGACTGTTGGTACTGAATAATTAATTGACTCATCAAGAAAACATACAACAGATGAATTAAAACTAAAACCAGCTCAACTTCTTTCCTACCATCTGTGTCAGTCATTCAATGGCTAGATGACTTTTCCATCGTCTGTGGAGCAACAGTTTCAGTCTGTGCCACTCTGACTATCTGGGCCCTGGAAACCAACAGATAAAACAAACTGGCCTAGATACACAAGTACTGCGAATGACGCACACACATGCTGTCTGACAGATGGTCTGCCCTCATCGTCCCAGTGGATAGAGAGCACTAATGTGGATCCCTTCAATTCTTCACAATGAAATAAACTCATCAACATTTACACATATACTTTTTTGACCGTAAAATGACATGTGCTGAATGAGATGCGGATGTGATATAAGGAGGGGGGTTGCTGTTAAGAGCCTGTATTCCCAAATGCATGACAGCACTGACATCACAACGAAGAGGATGCTATAGCACTCATACTGCAGAAAAGCTTTCTAATCAACTACTTCCCAGAAATTCATTCATTTGTCATTCATGTGTCTGCAGAGTTGGCATCAGATCCCACAGGAATATGATTAGCCAACCCAGGCTATACCCAGAATCTGAATACCTCAGTTGATTTATTATGATTATGGAAGAACGTGAAGCTGCATGAGAAAAGTCCTTCAGTGGAAGCAACCTTATGTTCTGACCTTTATGGCAACCATTCTCATGAGTAAGTGGTAAATAAAAATGTAATAACTTGGGACAATCAGGAGCAAATTTGCTACGTTCTCTTTTCCCTCTGCGGATTACCACAACACTCTACTTTTGCTGTTATTCACACACATTATAAGCCTGTTTTTCATCAGGAAGTAAAGAAGGTTGAGTGGGAAGCAGTTTGTATTGTTTTCTTACATGAATCAAGTTGAACAAAAGCATAACACTGATATAGAAATGCTAATTAGATTTAACAGATACTACTTTGATCAGGTTGTTTAGTCCCTGCTCCTTTGGAATCAGTAGTGCTGCTGTATATCTCGAGAACAAAGTAAAGCAGGAGTTGAATAAACTCCTGCCCACCCAAAATAGAGTTGCAAGGCAGGCTCTCCACTGCCCCAGTTGCATAAATGTGGCTCTAATGCATACAGTGTGACTGAAAACAAGTTGGAGTGAGGCCCTTGGAAGGATAGTCTGTTAAAAATGACTCCTTAGCCTCTGTATTAAAAGTGCATGCTATATCTTAGAGTATCTATCTATCTATCTATCTATCTATCTATCTATCTATCTATCTATCTATCTATCTATCTAT